GGCGCTGGCGCGCGAGCCGGCCGCCGTCACCCTGTGGATCGGCAACTGGCGCTCGGCTAAGGCGCAGCGCCGCAACAACTACGAGAACGTGTACGTGCAGGTCCCCGGGCGCCAGCACTTTGTACTCCTGTCACCGGCGTGTCAGGCGGGGGCTGGGGAAAGGCGGTTGAGGGGGGCGGTTTGGGTTCGGAGGGGGGGGAGGGGGGGGAAGGGGGAGGGGGAGGGGGGTGATGATCTGGAAAAGGGGCGGAATGGGGATGGGGAATTGGGTGGCGGTGGTGGCGGGTTGGAATTGGTGCTGGAGGAAGGGGGGGAGATGGTGCCCTTTGCGACGTGGGATCCGGATAGGCCAGAGGAGAATGCCACGCCGTATTCGCACCTGGTGCAGCCCATGAGGGTGACGTTGGACCCGGGCGATATGCTGTATTTGCCTTGCATGTGGTGAGTTGCATATTGCTTCGGAGGAGGATGGATCCTTACTTTATCCAGGGGGAAACTGACAAATGATAGGTACCACAAGGTGTCGCAAAGTTGCCCGCCCGACGGGGTGTGTATCGCCGTCAACTACTGGTATGTCCTCGGCAACAAAGTATTCACCCACCCATTATGCTGACTCGGTCTTGGTAGGTACGACATGGACTTCACAGGGCCTCTCTACCCGATGAGCACATTCGTCAGGTCAGTGTCAAACCAAAGAAAGTAGCACGCAAACCAAGGCGATATCGTCCTTGGATCTTGATATTCCAACCCAAGGCAATGTGAGCCCCATGATACAGCCCTTATACTATAAACACCCCAAATCATCCGGCGCCCATTTACTTCTTCTTCGCAATCCTCTTAAGCGCCCGCATCTCCTTCTTCATGCGCGGGTCCACCATCTTGTACCTGCCCTTGACACCCTTGGGTCTACCCGACAAACCGCGGTTCATGCCCGCAGCCTTGACCACCTTGACAGGCGCCTTTCTCTTCTTCCGCCCGGCTGCAGACATGAGCTTGGCGATGCTAGAAGCCTTCTCCTTCTCAGACATTCCCTGTGGCGGACACTTAGCATACAAAACTCGGCATAAAAACAAGGCGTATAACAAACCTCATCACCAGCCAGCAGATCGGCCTTCTTCTTGAGCTTCTCGAGCTTCTGGGCCTGCTTGAACTTCTTCCGCGCCCGCGCCTCGGCAACCTTCTTGATCGGCCTGGCATTGTATGCCCGTAGCTTCTCCTTGATGGCCGCCGCCGCCTCCTTGCTGATGGGCTTGTGGGGCTTGTCGTGCTGGCCCTCATCGTCGAGGAACCAGTCGGGCAACCCGTCCCGGTCCTTGAAGGCATGCTTGTTGTACCCTTCGTCGATGATATCGTAGGTCGACTTTTCGCCGCGCGCCAGCTGGTGGGCAAGCGTCATGGCCTCGGCTGTGATGATATCGATGTCTGTCCCCGTTAGTATTGAAATGGGCTCACTCAAAAGAGGTAACTTACTGGGCCTGCCCGTCCTTGTTCTTCTTCTCTTTCTCCTCCCAGTCGTCATCTTCATCATCTTCTTTCTGTTTGACCACCTCAAAACCCTTCTCCTTCTCCTTGCGCGCGGAATTCTCTTTGCGTCATCTTCCTTTGCTCCTCAATAGTCGGCAGTTCGTCTTCGGATTCCTCGATGTCGGATGTCACTATCTCGTCGACATCCATCGCGTCATCTTCGCTCGCTTCCTCACTCTCCTCCTCTTCTGGGACGTCCAATATCCCGGGGATACTCTGGAAGATTTCCTGGCTGAAGAAACCCCGCGCCCGTTTTGACAGCCCGGCCTCATCCTGTGGTGTGTTGTCGAGGTCTCGTAGAAGCGGCTTGCCGGTGTCACCGCCCTCCTCCGAATCGGAGTCGTCGCTGCTGTCCTCCTCGAGCAACTCATCGTCATCGTCGCTCTCCTCCTTCTCGCTCGCCGACACACCCTCCCACTCGTCATCCCTATGCTCTTTCCTAGCCTTCTTCGCCCGGTACTTGGCGTCGGCGGCCGCCTTCTTTTCCCGGTAGTTGTCGTACATGTTGTCCAGCTCCCGCTCCAGCCTATCCTCTTCCTCGTCGGTTTCGTCATCCGTCTCGCCCGAGGAGCCGATGCCTGAATCACGGTCTTTCCTCGCTTCTTCGGCCGCCGTGATTTTGGCCATCTTGCCTTTGGCTATCCTCCGCAGAGCGTCGGTCTGATCGATCGCCTTGAGACGGAACATGGAGTCCGCGCCCCTGGGACCCTCCTGCTCCATACCGATATCCATGGGTGCCGTCATGTTCATCTGCATGCGCACAATGTCTTTTTGCTTCTTCTCGTTCTCCTTCCGCCGCTCCTTCTTCTTCTTGGACGACTCCTTGTCCTTGATCTTCTGCAGCTCCTCCTGGATCTTGAGCTCCTCGTCCATATTTTCCACCTCGGCCACCTCCTCTGAAAGCGGCGTCTTGGTGGTCTTCTTGGTGGGGAACCCAAAGATCTCCCGAACCTTCAAACGCCATTTTAGGAGGAGTTTGAACTCTTTCCTTCCGAGAACCTTCAGATCAGCGCAGCAAAGCCGAATTTCTTCTGTTGTCTCGGGCAACTTGTCCAAGGCGGCTAACGCTACATCACCGTTCTTCGGTTGTTCGAACGTGAGCCGGTTGTACTGCCCAAGAATGGCGATTGGGTCGATGGTTTGGATGAACTCGCTTGCAGCAATTTCTTTGTATTGCGTGTCTATGTCCGGTCAGCAACGTCGAGCGAGGAGCAAAACAGGAACACGTACAGTCTCCCTCTTCATAACCCTCTCTCTTCCTCTTCTTCACCTCTGGGTTGTACACCTTGGCCTCATTGTTCGGCGCCGGGTCTGCCAGGTCTTCGAAAACGGAACGAGGGTCGAGCAGGCGTGGATCAATGCGCTTCGGCGCCTTGAAGCCGAGACATACAACGAAGATTTCGGCCGAAACGTTACGAGAGGAGGGCGGCTTTGTCGCATGGACCTTGGTGAACAGCTGGTTGAGAACCCACAACAGGGAGTTGTAATCCTTGGACCTGAAGACCTTGGTCTGTCGAATGATCAGTATTGCCCAACGACCGACCCCTCACCCCCTTTTTCCAAACGTACCACAAAGGTTCCTCCTTCGATCAAGAACTCGGTCGCCAGCTTCAGTGAATGGAGGGCGAGCTCGGCCTGGTTGTACGAATCCTGCACCCACGCAGTACCGACGTTGGGCGCACCGTCGTGGAGCACACAGTCGGCCTTCCAGGTCTTTAGGTGTGTCCGGATGGTCGCGCGGCACTTCTCGGTGGTGATGTCGCTCTGGAAGGTGATAACCTTGGGAATCGGCTTGATCGGGGCGAGATCGACACCGACGATGATACTGTCCTTGGGCATCGTCTCGGCGCACACTTGACACCATGACTGGGCTTGTTAGCTCAGGAGGCACTCGCGACCACAGACTCAATTGCAATTGCACATACCCCTGGCGCGGCGCAAAGATCGAGCACGACTTTGCTCTTCTCGAGGAAGCCATACTTCTTGTTGAGCTGGATCAACTTGAAAGCGGCACGCGCACGATATCCCTTCTCCTTGGCGAGCTTGTACCACTTGTCGAGACGGCCTTTGCCGTGCTTCTTTTGGATCGCCATGGTATGGGCTGTTTTGTCGCAAGCGATGCGACCCCTGGCGTGCTGGCTGGACCCTCCTACTGTCGATGGCTTCCCGTCTTCTGCGCTTCTGGACTCTGGAAATTTTTGGCGGAGAACCAGGCCGATAAGCGATAAGGCGAAATTGTTAAGCTCACCTGAAAGTGGGGTGCTGTTCGTGGTTGTTTGGTTTGGGGTTCTTCAACGCCAAGCGCCAAGCCTTCTTGGGAGGCTGGCGGCTTTGGCCCCGCCCTAGGCGCGATTGGGATTACTGATTGGCCCAACACGTCGCGAGATCGACAAGCCAGCATCTCATAGGGCGCCCAGCCTCAACCACTTAAAGACCCCTGTACGCCTAGCGCGTCAGTACACCGCGAACCGCGTCTTGCAGCAAATTCCAGGTTCTGGTAGGGGCAATGAGCGGCGGGGATTCCAGGTTGATCGACCCTCTTTCTCCCTCTCTTAAGTGCTCACCGCGGGACCTCCTCCAGCAGACAGCAGACAACGAACGGACAAACCTAGAATTACACTAGACCTGACAGGATTGGAGTCTGCAGGGTGTAATACTTACCTCTCGATTCCATTCTCGATTCCATTCTCGATTCCATTCTCGAGTCCTGCCATCCTTCGCTTTCGATAATCTCTAATTCCTATTTCTATTCTTCCTCGGCAAGGCTTACTACCTAGGGATCCACGATTCCCAAGGGCTAAAAGGCGGCCATTGACCTGACCCATTGACCCATTGACCATGGCGGACAAGATCCCTTCATCCCCCGCCAGAAGGTCGGCCACTTTGAACGCCGCTCTCCTATCATCACCCCCGAGGGCACCATCAACCCACGGCAAGGAGCGAAGAAATCCGTCAATTACACCTAGGAAGTTTCAGCGATTCTTCACTCCCCGATCCCGAGTCTCATCCAAGCCAAGCGCTGCCCGGAAAGCCCTCTGCGACCTTACTGCCCCGGCCCTGAACCGCTACCAGACACCGTCGAGCCCACTCAAGCCCATCTCGGAGGAACTCTATCTGCCCCTGCCCCAGGAAGCCCACCGGGGAAAGCGCCGCAAATTCAACCATTCCACCCCCGAGAAACAGACAACTTATCTGCCGTCACCGCTACAGTCGTCACCACTCCTCCCAACAGCAGATCTGAGGCCCGGCTTGGCGAGCCCCATCCAGTCTCTAAGGTCCCGACGGGCTTTGCAAGACGTTGTCTACAGGGATGATGATGTTTCGGAAGACGAGGACGAGGTGCCCGAGGTTATGGCAGCACCATTGAAGGCGCCTGTACCGTTGCATCGCTGGGGGTTGGGGGCTCAGCTGGTGCAGAGGATGACGGGTGCTATGCGCTTCGCTAGCGAGAAGGCTCTGGAGTGTCCTGTTGCTGGTGAGTACTTTACCGGCATTCTTCACTCCGAGATGCGTTCTAACCCGTTCGTTTAGACTGGAGGACCGAGACGGCCGACTTCCAGAGCCGGCCTGAGGATGCCCATTTCTCGTCCAGCCATGAGGGAGCACCGCGCGCCATCCCTTTCTGCACAACTACCTGCCACAGTAAGTCAATGGAGGAACCAAGTATCTCACAGTCCGGTTAGCTAACTCGTTCTAGAAAGCAGTCTTGTAGCAGTTGGTGACGAGGAAGGCTATGTACGCCTCCTCGACTCGAGCGGAGACTTCTCGAAAATCCACCTGTCGTTCCAGGCCCACGGTAACGCCATTATCGACCTGGACTTCTCCGAAGACGACCAGCTATTAGCCACCGCATCGGGCGATCAGACCGGCAGAGTTATTGATATGCAAACACAACGACCCGTCTCCATTCTCGGCCACCACACAGCTTCCCTGAAACAGGTCCGTTTTCAACCCGGCCGTGGCTCTAGTTGCGTTCTCGCAACCTCTGGTCGTGACGGTAGCGTTCAGATCTGGGATCTGCGGTGCCGAGGTGGGCCGGTCCAGGACTTGGGTATTGTTTCCGAGGCGGGCTTGCGCCACCGTATACCAAAGCCGCTCAACCCGGGTTGCGTGGTCAACAGCATTTACGACGCGCACGCACGAACGACTAGGCAGGGAAAAGGTCACCTGTCCTCTTCCAACCCCGGCGACGTTGCCCGCTTAGGCGAAGTTCCGGGCCGCTTCGGCGAGGTCTCGGTCACGGCAATGCAATTTCTCCCTCCCGGCCGCGAGCACCTCCTCCTCACCGCCTGCGAAGCCGACGCGAGCATCAAGCTCTGGGACATCCGCGCAGTCCACACCAGCCGGCACCACAAAGCCAGCACCCCCGTCTCCTACACAGCGCCACCCCCGAGCCACGTCGCCTTCCGACCCTTCAGCATCTGCTCCATGACCCTCGGCGGCGACGGCACGCGCCTGTACGCCCTCTGCAAAGACAACACTGTCTACGCCTACAGCACCGCCCACCTCGTGCTCGGCCACGCCTCCGAACTGACCCCCGCCCTCCCGGGCACCGAGCCCCCGCGCCGCCGCCACCACCCACACGGCACCGCCCACGAGGGGCTCGGCCCGCTCTACGGCTTCCGCCACCCCCTCTTCCACGCGACGAGCTTCTACGTCAAGACAGCCATCCGGCCCGCCGCCGAGGGCCGCCCGGAGCTCCTCGCCGTCGGCAGCTCCGACGGCGCCGCCGTGCTATTCCCCACCGACGAACGCTACCTGCGCGACGCCTGGTCGTCGTCATCCCCCGACGACAACACTACCGCCCAGGAAACATACTACGTCGGGCGCCCCCACCGACAAGGGCCCCTCGACGCGGTCGCGGCCGGGGCTCCGGTCCGCATCGGCGGCGGCATCGGCGTCGGGCACCGCCGGCGCTAAAGCGCACGAATAGCATGAGCCAGCTTTTTGCGCGGCAGGCGGATTGCGCCACGCCGGTCGTGCGCAGGGGCACGCCGCTGGTGAGGGGGCATGGGAAGGAGGTTGGTGCGGTGGCGTGGACGAGCGGCGGGAAGCTGGTTACTGTGGGGGATGATTTTATCGTGCGCTGCTGGAGTGAGGACCGGGAGAGGGCGGCGGATTTGAGGACTGGTGGGGAGGGTGAGGGCAGGAGGTGGGGTTGTGGGTGGGCGGATGTGGGCGATCAGTGGGAGGGGGATGTCGATGATTGGTGATTGTTTAGGGTGTGGATTGGGTGGGAGATGGTGGTGAGGGTTTGGGGTCCTGGGAGGGTGTTGGGCGCTTTGTTGGATTTTGTCCAGGTTTGGCTTGGGTTGTTGTTTGTTGGGGTTATTGGGTTGCTTATATCATACCACGGGAACAGCGGTTATGGCGTATGGGGCGGCATTGTTTTTGTTTGTTCTAGCATTACACGGTGTTCAGGTAGCTGGGTCGTGCCATACCAAGAGTAACATGTGTTGTAAGCCATGGAAATAGTTAGTCGTATCATTCTATGAGTGTTTCCTGTCCAGGAGATTACGGAACCTTGAGCCATTCCATCCGCACATCACTTCCATGCATGTCTCGCCCATAATCCAACGAGAGCGAGTAGAGTTCCCATAGCCAAGTACCACGCTCCGAACCCAGTGAGCTAGCTCAACAACTTTCCATCCCCCTTTACTCGACAGTTCTTCATCTGTAGGTGAGCGTCCTTCCCCTCCGCTTGGCAACTCCCGAGACGATCCCAAGGCTTATCCTTCCCGAGCATACAGTCAAGCTCGTCCACAAGCAGGATCATATCCTCGAATATCTTCCCCGCCTCCCTAACCACCTCATCCCTCTCCTCGCTCGTCAACACCCGCCCCGCCTCCCCAAACCTCTCCTTAAACTCCACCTTCAAATCCTCCCCATCCCTCGGCGTCTCAAATCTGAAAAACCCCAATGGCAACGCTCCTTTCTTCGTCTCCAACCCACACCCAACCTCGTCATCCCCAACACCACCGTCATCACCACCGTCATTACCACACTCAACATCCTCCCCAAAACCACTCCAAAACCCCTCCCCCGCCCCCTCCAACAACCCCCTGAGCACGCGTCCCCCAGAAAAAAGCGCCATGTAAAACACCCACGCATACGCCAGCAACACGTGTGGGCGGGCGCGTACCGACTGTTGGATACGGGAGAGGAAGACAGCTTGTTGGGTGGTTTGCGAAAGGAGTTGCTGGTTGTTGTCGTTCAGCTGGCAGTTGGTCTGTTTCTGCTGTTGAGAGGAAAGGGTGGTGAGTGAGGCGGGGGGGATGGTTGTAGTAGGGACGGGGGCGGTAGGGCGCTGCTGGTTTGTGAGGGTGTGGATGTCGGCTAGAAGGGGGGTGGTGCGGCTTAGGAGAGGGTGATGTAGGGTTTGGAGGAGGGTGAGAATTCGTGGTTCGAATGGTGGAGGGCTGGGAGTAAGTGGTGATGGGGGTGTGGCGTGGGTTCTCGGGTTGGGAAGAGGAGGTATCGGGGGGTGGAGGCCCGTTTTCGGAACTGGGGTTGGCGTCGCCGTGGGTGCCAATAAGGTCCTGCCAGAGAGATTCGAAGGTGAAGTAAATCGGGGCGATGTGGAGGAGACCGGTAGCGTAGATGGAGGGGTTGGTGGCGTGAGGAGGTAGGGCTAGCGGGAAGTGCTGGAGAATTGCCTTGTTCAGCTTGGCGTGAAGCGCCCTGGTGGCGGTGTTGATGCTATCCCCGAGATGGGGCCGGCCTTGAGACCCGTGAGCGTTGTTTTGGGGGTCCATGGCAAAATCGTATCCAAGTTCGGAAGCGCGATGGCCCGGTACGTGGGATAGAAGAGGGGGGTACTGCTCTTGAAGGAATATCGTACGGTTTGTAAGAGTCACCGAACACTGGGCGGAGGGTTTGTGACAGTAGGGCAAACTGTAATTAATCAAGAGCCGGCCCCAATAACATATCTACTCTTGTTATGGAACACATGTGACTCGAACCGAACAGTAACGAAAGTTTTGAAAACAAAGCAGGGCTGTCCTATCTCATCTGGCTTTATTTACTCCCTGAACCCGCCAACCAAACTCTGTCCACCCTCGGAACAAAAACAGCACTTATGTCCCAATGGTGCTGGTCGTTTCACTACAGCAAAGCAAGGCGAAGGAGTACCAGGTCGGATAGGGAATCAGTTGTCGTGGCTCTACAGCCATGTGGAAGTAGTGAAACCTTGAAGTTTCAAGGCAATAGGAGTCTCATGAGCAGTTCCTAGTAGGACGTGATTGTGAGCGCTGGTGGCCTAGGTCTATTTTAAACTAGGGTTCAACTTTGTGGAGAGCACAAGGCCAAATGTAGTGTTGAAGGCTCCCAGATGCTGGTTGCTATGCTTCAAGCTGGGCCGCGCCGGTCCAATAACTGGTGAACTCGGCCACCAATGGCGACCTGCTGTGGGCATCCTAAATTACCATCTATGCTCTAAAATGGTAGCCTGCGAAGAACTCTGCGTTCTCTAATGAAGTACCGAGAATCTAAATGCTATACCGCTGACCTCTCGGCTCCCGGAGCCAGGTCATCTTTCCCGTCTGCGCCATCCTCATGGCTCTCGTTGTTGACAAACAAAAACGATATGAATACTACCCCAGCACCCACCCAGTAAAGCCAGCTTGAATACTGAGAGTACTGGATCATCTCGCCGATGAGCGAGAGGGGGATGTTTAGGGATAAGCCCACTGTGACGACAAGCGGCGTTGTGAGCAACATGGCGTATGCCCACAGAATATCGCTGAAGAAGGACGCGGCAGAATTGACCTGAGAGGCGTCAGTAGTTTTTCCTTCATACGTTGCTCATAGCACTCACCGCGATAATGGTCCACACACTGGCTGTGGGTGGGACTTCGAACGGCTCGATGCCGGTGTAGTGCAAGATGAAGAAGCCCGGCCAGAGAAACAACACGTTAAACAGGCCAACCAAGCCAAAGAACAGCGGCATATTCACCCGCTCTTCGTTCCCGACCCTCCGCTTCATGACCGTGACGTAGACGCCATAGATGATGGCACTAAAAAAAGCCATGGCATCCCCGATCGCGATCTGCGCCGTCGTCTTGTGGGGGAAACTCCCCCGGTTATCGTCGTTCGCCCCAGACAAATCCACCGACGAAATAAGCACCACGCCCACCAGCGACGCCAACACGCCCACCAACTTCCGCATCGTAAACCCCTCCACCTTGGTGATCGCACAGAAAATCAGCGTCCAAATGCTGCTCGTAGACGTCAAGATGGTCACGCTCCCCACACTCGTGTACTCCAGGCACGCCGACGCAAAGTAATTCGCGGAAAACCACAGCATCGAGAACTCCAGACTCAGCCGCGCCGTCTCCCCCACACTCAGCTTGTCGTCCCCGCCCCCCGGCGGCACCATGTCCAGGGCCTCCAGGCTCCCCTCGTCGTCCACCAACAACCGCTCCCCGGCGTCATCATCGCCCTCATTACCGCCACGGCGGCCACCAATACCCTCTCCATCCCGTGCCCTTAGTAGCGTGAAGCCAGAGCTCCGCCCCCGCCACAACTGCAGAGCGGAAGCCAGCAGCGCGTCCACGCCGTTTTGCATGACGTAGCGGATGGTAAGCGGGATCAGCGAGATGGCAAAGCATGAGGTGTTGACATAGACGAGGAAGAAGGGCTTGTTGTAGGTGCCGTCGGAGAAGATATACTGCAGGGGCCGTCTCTTCGTCAGTAACCCGAACCCGAACCTATCCGCTCTACACCACCCCGTCATGGTGGGGGGAGGGGCATGGTGGAGGGGTATGGGCAGGGGCATGGAGAACTCACGCTCGCTAGGAAGTTGGATGTCGTCCACAGAAACACCACAACCAGCAGTAGCCCTATCCCGAGGGTGCGCCGCGCAACACCGCCGAGGCCGAGCTTCTCGCGTAAGTTGCTGATGCTGCCTCGTGACGCTGTTGTCTCTGAACCAGAAGTCCTTGCTGTGGACGGGGAGCGGGAGAGGGGAGGTTCGGAGTCTGTTGTGGATAGCATGCCCGCGGTGACTGAATGCGACCTGCGCCGGGACGAAGAAGAGGGGTGTGTCTGGGTAGTGTGCTGGGCGGTCTCGTCTTTCTGTTTATGATCTGGCGTTAGCTCCCCCGGGAGGAGCGGCTCGATGGGCGCCATGCTGTGTAGTCGTGTACTCGTGTGTAGGTAGCGTCTCTTGCCGCTCGCGGAGGTCAACCCCGGCTTATAGCACCAGGCAGCCGGAGTTTGGAGAGGTATTTGGTCTACGGGTCGGTCGGTAAGCCGAGTGTCGTGATGATATCTTATCGTACCCTGAGGCGTGGAATCAACCACGCAAAGAAACAAACGTGCGCGGACCGGCGGACAAAAAGGGCCTTGACGGGTGCTGCATCTCCAGGCGAAATCAAACCGAGGATGCCGAGTTCAAGCGGGCCAACAAACTGAGGTCGGTTAGGTTAGAAACGGCATGAGGCCGATGGATGAGGTATGCATTTGTACTTTGCAAAGGCAATAAAAAGCAAAAGGAGCGCAGATACCAGGTATTAGCGAAGGAATGTGGTCGCACAAACTACCGCGACACCCGACAGCAATATCTCAAAACACTGGAGTTTTTAGAGGAGTCAAGTTAAGGACTGGACTCTGCGGGTTGCAAGCTCGCTCTGGTGCACGCGACTGCGACTGACCAAGAACAGAACATCGACGCCAAGACTGCCCCTGACCATCCCTAAAATGGCGCGAATTCGTGATGCGGGGTTAGGGTTGACTATAGCAGGCCGGTACATCGGTACCTGTTGCTGTGTATTGAAATGGCGTAACTCTTCCATGTTGAGTTGTTACGTCTTCATGTGGCTTCCAGTTCTAAGCATGTGCCCAGTCGAAATATGATGAACCCACTATCGTGCAGCACGGTCATACCTGTACACAATACTCGATACCATATACCATTTACACCAAGGCTTCCACCTCTATGAAGCATCCCAACAACGCTCTCCCTGGGACAGAAATGACAACCCGACTCTCCCGTTTGGGACAAAAGCAGCCAGACACACCGGGCATGATATCATACAAAGCACATAACCAGTAAACAAGTGAAATCCGAATCAATTTAGTTCCCTCCCTGCTCAGCACGCGCAACCGTCCCGGTCGTTCTCGATGTGGATGTTGATAGGGTCCTGGAAGTCCCCGCTGAATTCCTCCGACTCTTCTTGAAGCAGCGCATTCCTTGCGATAACTATAGGCGGTCAGTTGCAGCTCTCTCTCGCTTCTGGCGCCGATGGCAACCTACCTTCGAACGCCTGCTCTACGTTGATCGCCTCCTTTGCGCTGGTCTCAAAGTAGGGGATGCCTCCTTTGGACTGGCAGAAGGTCATAGCCCTCTTAGTTGAGATCTGAACTTGGTCAGCCCCGCTCTCGCTCCCGTCCACTCCGGCAGACCCCCAGCCGGACTCACCACTCTTTTGCTCTCCTCCACATCGATCTTGTTTCCAAGCACCACGAACGGGAAGTTATCCGGGTCTCGTGGGGATGCTTGAATCAAGAACTCGTCCCGCCAGCTGTCGAGAGCGTCGAAGCTTTTGGAGTTGTTGACGTCGTACACCAACACGCAGCAATCGGCTCCACGGTAGAAGGCCACGCCGAGCGACTGGAACCGTTCTTGGCCTGCCGTATCCCAGAGCTGTCATCAAAGCCGTATGTTAGCGCCCACCCTCACTATGAACAAGCCGGGCTCTTGGGCCGAAGTCGTCTGCGCACCTGCATCGTAACCCGACGGTCATCCACCATCACTTCCCGCGTCAGGAAATCAGCCCCGATTGTGGCCTTGTAGCTAGCGCTGAACTTCTTGTTGACCTGTAATTCGAGACAAAGTCAGACATTGAATCCGTGAGCGTCGAATAGCGGTCGGGTGGGAGCATCGGCAGCGTACATATTGGTTCATCAGACTCGTCTTGCCGACACCGCTGTCACCCAAGATGATGACCTAAAATCCCATGCCATTAGCAAGCGGCGCAGGCACAGCAGTCATCTCGGCGCATCCAACCTTCAAAAGGACCTTCTTTTTGCTAGACATGGCGCCAGTGTCTTCGCTAGATCGACGATGATGTGGGGAAGGCGATCCGGAGAGTTGAGTAACGTCGGACTGGAACACTTGCTGATGCTGGGGTGTGCTCTCAGATAAAGCGATAGTAGGTGGTTCTGGTGTTCTGGGATTCACTTAGTTCAAGAGCGCGAACAGCGTATGGCTAGGAATGAACAGTTGCAGTACTGACGAACGATGGGGCTTGTTGTTGGGGACTCGAGGGTTGGAGGAGTGACGCTGGCAAAGAGCGGAGCCACAGATGGCTGGCAAGCTGCAAGGCAGGGCAGGCAGGCATGACCGGATTGAAGCGAGGGCCAATCATCGGTCTGTAATGTTGGTCCGCTGATGAAACCAGGCAACTTTCGGCCTAGCGGTGATGCGCACATGGGGAATGCCCCATTGCCTGTTCCCGTTCCCGCTGAATTGGCCTGAGCTCCCCCAAGCGGCACAGCGCTGAGCCGAGCTTCGGCGGCAACCAAGCCGAGACAGAAGCACACGAGCAGCCACGACGACAGTCCGAACCGGAAACCCAACACCGTCATCCACGCGGGGAAAGATTAGAGATGGCAATACAGCACATCAATAATCAGGCCATCGACGACAAGGTGTGAAAGAGCGGCAAGGGACGAAAGGATTGGGGCGCCTGGGCAAAAGCTTTGGTAACTCCTGGCTCTCGCTACCTTTCTGAACTTCTCAACCTTGGGCTGCCGTCATTGCGGCTTGTTAAGGCTGGGTCGCGGCTTTGGAAGTCGGCAGATCTCTAGGCAATGGCGGATGAACAGCTCCTCGACAAAATCCACAATCTCAGCGACCTGGAGCTCGCAGCCCTCCTTGGCCTCATCGCCCGCGAGCACTGCCTGATCAGCACCGAACCGGACAGCGTCAACGAACTCGCCGAGGAGTTGCGCCTGATCGCATCCAAAACCTTCAACCTTAGCTCCGCCATAATCAGCTGCCACGCCCACACCACGCTCGATGAGTTTGCGACAGGTTTATGCGTCCCTCCGAACCGAGCACCGCCGTCGCCCGGCAACACGCGCTCCGTGTCCCCGTACCGACCGCGCCATGAGCAGTCGCAGCTCTCCGTGGGAGGCCCCGGGCCTTCATCCGGGTCCTACTTTCCGCTAACCTCATCTCCTCGCATTGGTGGGGCGGTGAGCCCAATCTCGCCCGGAAGCAGCTCGCAGACCCCACAACCGCGAATCGCCAACGTTATCCTGGCTAAAGACCTAGACCGTGCTCCCCGGGCCATCCAGATCCAAGCCCTCGAGCTTCTCCGCACGCGCCGCATATTCACAAGAACAAGCGTACAAACTGCCCCAAAGCAGTTTCTCTTCATTGCTGTAGTTGGCGCCAACGGTGTAGGACAGGCCCGGGTCACCCCCCATCTGAATGATTTCTTCTACCTCAGCCACTGGCATGACCCGGAGGAGGATGGTTTCCCCTACCTCGACGAAGAATACAGCCCTCAGCCCCGGCCCTCAAACGATGACAACCAGGACGACGCCGCCTCCACGAGATCTAGCACTAGCGTTGTTAAGCTCAACCGGCACGCCTCCCTGGCCATAACAGGCCTCGGCATCCCAGCCGTCGACCACCAAGACCACTGGCGCCATCGCAAGGACAGCACCGCTAGCAGCGTCCGAAGCGGCGGCATACCCTCCCTCTCACCCCAACACCGACACCAACACCAACACCCCCCAACCCAACCCCGAACCCAACCCCCCCAACACACCCTCACCGAAACCGAAATCTCCCACCTCTCCCAGCTCTCCCGCACAACGCACACCTCCATCGCCCTAACGCGCTACCAATTCAACCTGATCTCCTTCCTGCGCACCCACCGCGCCGTCGCACCGGGGTGCGTCTCCCCCACCGCCACGCAGCACCTCGCCCGGCTGAGCGCGTCGCTGGCGCCGCTGCACGGGCTGGACTACGTCACCCCCGCGCTGGTGGCGCTGGCGGTGCGCAAGGTGTACGCGCACCGGGTGAGGGTGGTGGGCGGGGAGGAGGGGGTGGGGGTGGAGAGGGAGAGGAGCGTGCAGTGGGGGAGTGAGGTTGGGGTGGTGAGGGGGTTGTTGGAGGGGGTCGGGGTGGAGGAGGTGTTGGAGGAGGTTTTGGGGGCGGTGAGGGTGCCTGCGTAGTTATCTCTGCGTAGGCGGTTTGGTTGATTTGAGTTGGGGGTGGAAGGGGGCATAGAGTAAGGATATGATATGGATGGGTGTGGATAGGGTATATCACTGTCATCATAAGACGGTAGAACAAGAATTGGGAAACCACCGTTGGTCAATACCATACCCACACTGCATTAGAATAAATAACGCGGTCTACCCCTTCGTTTCCGTGGCTGTGCTTATTCAGCCGTACAAAATCAGAGCATAACGCCTCATCGAGCCCGGTGTTCTATCTGAACACATAATCATGTTTTCCTCTGCATGTTTTCCTGTGGATCCAACCCACCGGCCCAATTCGTTCTTCTCACTAATGTGTCTCGGTAATTCTGCACTCCCATCCCGATCCCTTTGAAAGCAGCGGCAAGCTATACACAAACGAGTCAGTAATCATGAATCAAGAAGCAACTCCATAACGATAGGAAGGGTGACAAAAAAAGAGCTTACCTGGCGCCCAAACACCATCCCAGCTCCTTATCCTTAATCTTCTTAGCAATGCGCACCTCCCGGTCCAGCGGCATCTCGTAGCCGGTATGGGACAGGGCCAGCATAAAGTTGAGGTCGAGGCAGTGCTCGGGGCGGCCGCGCAGCTCGTCGACGGCGCCCGGCACGCTGGCGAAGACGTCCCAGGCCTCCTCGCCGCCGCACACGCTCCTAGTGAGGTCGGCCAGCTCGCGCAAGGTGAAGGACTCGGGCATGCCGAGCGGCTGGGTGCGGTCGTAGAAGTAGGAGAGAAAGAAGATGTCCTCGTGCGCAAAGGTCTTGGCGATGGACGGCTGGTGCACGCCGTTAAAGGAGCACGGCGCCAGCTTGCACTCGGCGTCCTTCTTGAGGATGCGCTCCGCCAGGCTGCGGCACTGGCTCGCCCCCGCGGTAGACGGCGCCGTCATGGTCAAATCGACGGTTGTGCCGAGCGGGTGCTTGTCGCCGAGCTTGACGGTGACGTTCTTGGACGTTCCGACCGAAAGGCAGGGGTTGACGACGGCGTTCTTGGTCCAGGCGGCATCGTCCTTGTTCTGCTCGTGGAGGTCATCGACGAGCGTGAGGTGGATGGCCTCGCGCGCCGCCATCAGGCCGTATCCCAAGTGAGAGTGCTGGTACAGACTGAACTTTTGCCCGCCGAAGTTGAGATCGTACTTGTGGTCCCCCTCGGCCAGCTTCTCGGGCATGCCGCCGGAGCTGAGACCCTCGAAGGTCGGCTGGAAGACGATCTGAGTGGAACCGCCGCCGAGGTCGAACACGGCAGCTGTCTCGCTGCGGTCGGGACCGCCAATCTTGCCTAGGAGATAGTTCACCGTGACCCAGGCATAAACACCTTCGTCGGCGCCGTCCATCATGGACACGCCGCCCTCCTGCTGGGAGACCACGGGGAAGGGATACTTGGTCTCCAGACGGTGCCTGACGGCCTCCAAAATCTTTGTGCTCTTTTCAGTGCCGATCACCCGCAAGCCGGCAGTCGCCTTCACAGCGATCGGGCTGCAACCCTTCAGCTTGTCCGGAATGACTTTGAGGGCTGCGTCGAGGAGAGGCTCCAGACTCCCGGCGGCAGCCTCAGGGTCGTCCTTATACGCGCCCAGCCCGCTGCTCTTGCCCTCGATCTTCTCGGTCATCTTGAAGAGGACTTCGCCCTCAAGTTCGGGGGTGGCGCCGCAGTTGTTGAACTTGTAGACGTGAATGCGCGAGCCAGTGCTGCCAGCGTCGATCATGGAGACGTACTGCACGATGGGCTTGTCCTTGGAGAAGGACTTGGTGCATTTGTCGGTGCCATAGGAAGAGTCGGATGGTGTTTGGCCTTGAGATGGCGATCCGGCATGTCCTACAATGTCTGATCCTTAAACCCCAAATTAGCTCAACCTCGCGCAAAAGTATACCCCTTCAAAGCTAAACCTACCATTGTAGATATCCACCCCTGACGGAGAGAAAAAGTAAAAGATCAAAAACACTGTAAAAATGATGGCGCCGGTCTTGATGTAGCGCGCCCGCTGGGACTGCGATACCCAAGCAGATTGCATCTTCATGATTAGGCTCTCGCCCCGGTTTCTGTCGTATCGGTCAGGTTTCTCGTGAGGATCGTAGGCAATGTGCTTCGTCGGCAGCGACACCGACGTGCGTCGCATAGGGACGGGTTTCGAATCCCTAAGGAGGCGAAAGCTGAACGGGGGCTTCGAGGATCAAGGGCTCGAGGCTAAGTCGCACATGCCAGCCAAGTGGCGATTAATCGAATTGAAAGGGCGTTAAACGAGAGACATGAAGACAGTTGCGCGCAAACACAGGCACTGCAAAATCAAATCGCAGTGGCCGCTCAGGAAGTGCAACAAACAGCAAAACCTCCAAGCGAAAAACGTGGAGGTGTGGTGGATGAATAGGGGTTGGTTGTCCAAGATTTTGGAGATTTGGCTTTCCAGACCCGGCAATCCATGAATGGATGGATCTCGATTTTCTGACAGCCCGTTGGGTGAAACGGTCCTGCAAGGAATGACGCGACAGGCCACAAAACACCCCTGCCATTGGGTGGGTCAGTGGTTCTTCACAGCTCTGAGAGGGCGAGTTCCAAGTCGATGACCAAATCTTTCCACTTTTTATTCAACCTCTCCACCCGCAACGTCAATAACAGCACACAACCCATGCGTCCCATCTTCATCCCATCTTCATCCCATCTATAGACTCTCTGTTGAGGGCAGCCGAAATGCCCTTCAAACTGATTAGTATTTAGTATGAACCCTCTCCGTAGTTGCCCCGTGATCTTGCTTCGCACAATGTTGTAAACTTGGTTGGATTCGCAATTCGCAGCACCCACCACCAGCTTTTTGTCTTGACAACAAGCATGGCGAATTCGAACACTTTCACCTGCTTTCCTCGCCTCCCCTTCGAAATTCGAGACCTCATCTGAAAAGAAGCGCTATCGGTTCCAGCTCTCTGGGCCACACATTCGGACCCAGACGACCGTCCCCCAACAATGACCTTCATCGGCCCCGCGCCCTACTTAGTAGGCCTCTCCTGCAAAGAAGCTCGGCGGGTCATGGAAAGATCCTATATTCAGTTTGATAGTTTAAGAGGCGGCCCATCGACATTCCATTGGGTCAACGTGGACAAAACACTTGTCTTTTTCGGCAACGGCATTGATATCGCAAAGACCTTTAGCCCGGAGGAGCGCGCCAAGTTCAAATATGTTGCGTTGGACTGGTTTACCCTGTCGATACAATCATTCCCTCTTTTCCCAAATCTAGAAGGCCTAGCCGTTGGACCGATTGGGATGTTGCGGACCACGCGACCACTCTCCTTGTCGAAGAACCCATCGGCTCGAGATATACAATCATTAACTACATAGATCTGGTACGTTTTGTAAGTACTTGGTCGGTCTACCTCTCAAAATACCTACCTATAGTTACCTGTGTACGATGCTGACGGGGTCGGATCAGCGAGATCGGCGAGCTCAAAGCCGACGGAACCTCAGGGAGCCGCGTACGATTTATCCCGCTGGGGAGTGATTATCTATCTCAATTTTGTGGATATTTTCAGGATGCAGCTAATGATTGTAATCAAGGCTTGGTCGCCATCTTCAACTATGAGTTCATACACCGCACTTAACGAGTTACACGGACATATATGTATCTTACATAATTACCATACGATTTCACAGGCGTAACATACCAGTGGCAATGCCAGCCTAGAGGCTTCCAGAAGCGGTAGGCTGGCCTCGTAACCTCTCGCTGCCTTTCGAACCGGACAACCTCTGATCTAAAACTCGACCACCACACTTTCTAACCTTCATCTAAACCAAACTTGACCCAACTTCGCTTTCTTCAAGGTGTCCCGCCCTAGACCACGAGGAAGGACGTGCCTCATCGCGGTAATCAGACTGTTGTATCGCACGAACCCGTTATTACACCGCGGTCGTCATGGATATACACCTTCTTGTTTATGACCTTTCAAGAGGTCTCGCGCGTCAAATGTCTCTCGGCCTGCTTGGGTTTCAGCTCGATGCTATCTACCACACATCAATACAATTAGACGGGCGAGAATACGTGTACGATGGTAACATCGTTGCCATTAGACCAGGATCGTCGCACCTCGGGCAACCCATGCAGAAACTCCATCTTGGGAGGAGCGAGCGTATGTATTCACGATTACTCTTCAGGCATTCTTCGAGGTAGTGCTGACCCAATGTTATAAGTGCCTATGGACGTGATTGAAGAATATCTAGACTCGCTGCGGGGAATCTACACGGTCGAGGTAAGTTGACCAACGCCTTCTCGTTGCTTCGGACATGAGAGAGTTAAGACTAACAACTCTAGGCCTACGACTTGTGGAGGCACAACTGTAACAATTTCTCAAACGACTTCGCCACGTTTCTCTTGGGCAAAGGCATCCCTAGCCATATCACCAACATGCCTCAGGCTGTTTTGTATGTCTCCAGCCGCCCGGTCTAGGGTCGTAGGCGGACTGAGCCGGTAGAATACTGACCTATGGCAGAGATTCGCCGTTTGGCCAGATGATCATGCCCACACTAACACAGCAAATCAACGCCAACAAGCGCGGAGGCAACATTCTCGGCATCGAGCAGCAGACCCCGGGCAGCTCGGTCAAGCCTCAGTCAGAGCTCCACCGGCCTCTCGGAAAAGTCCACACTGTCTCGAGCCTAGGGCAACTCGATGAGCTATTAGGAAAGTTCGATAAAGCGTGCGCCGTCGTTTTCTTCACTTCGGCCACGTGCCCTCCTTGCAAAACCCTCTATCCACTCTATGACGAGCTCGCGGGCGAGATCGGGGAGAGAGGCGTCCTGATCAAAGTTGATACTTCGCAAGCCTTTGACGTTGGCAGCCGGTACTCCATCTCGGCGACGCCGACGTTTATTACCTTTTTAAGAGGCCAGCAGGAGAACCGCTGGAGCGGTGCGGACCCGAGTGCGTTGCGAGGCAACGTGCAACTCCTCGTTCAAATGGCATGGCCACCACACCCGCACCAAGCCCTCAACCTACCGACCTTCTCCAATCCCAGTGCCGATTACGTTACCTTCGCCAACTCCCCACCGCTGCCGAAGCTCCTCGCCAAGATGGGCACAACTGCCGCCCATCCAGCAGTACAGAGCATCAAGGCCTTCATCGAGTCCCGCTCCTCCGACGGACCGGCCGAGACGACCCTCCCCGACCTAGCCGCCTTCACGTCCCTCGTCCGCTCGTCTCTAACCACGCTCCCCACCGACCTCCTCTTCACCATCGTCGACCTCCTCCGCTGCGCCCTCATCGACCCGCGCGTGAGCGGCTACCTAGCTGAGGAACAGCCCGTTCCCCACCGCACCATCACCTCCATCCTCACGCACGTCACCACCACGCTATCCCCCACCACCTGCCCGTACGCCCTGCGCCTGGTCACCCTCCAGCTCTCCTGCAACCTCTTCACCACTCCGCTCTACCCGCCCGAGATCCTGGCCTACCCGCCACTGCGCACCGCCATCACGCAGCTGCTCTCATCCAGCTTCCTCGACGACGCCCACACCAACACGCGCGTCGCAGCCGCCGGCCTGCTGTACAACGTCGCCCTCGCCAACAGCAGGAAGCGCCGGGGCGGGCCCGGCGACCTGCTGCCTGAGCACGACCAGGTCGAGCTGGCTGCGTCCGTGCTCGAGGCGATTACGCAGGAGGAGACGTCCGTGGAGGCGCTGGAGGGTATGTTGCTGGGTCTGGGCTGGCTGGTGTACTGCGCGCCGTTGGACGGGGAGGTGGCGGATCTGTTGAGGATTATGGAGGCGGGTGGGGTGGTGCTGGGGAAGGGGAAGGGAGAGGGCGTCGGGAAGGGGCTGGGGTTGGTGAGTGAGGTCGGAGGGGTGTTGTTGGGAAAGGGGCTGTTGGAGCGCTGATGAGGAGGGGGGAATCGGGTAGATGGTGTCGGTGGTGTTGGGGAATGGGGGAGTTGGGTTTGTTTTCAAAGGTAGAGGGCATGGCATGCATGAACTGTATGGTAGATATTGAGGTAGACAAGCTATGTTGATCGGGATTCTCAGTGCAGAACTCACTCTCTTTGATTGCTGCGCTCTGTTTCCCTGTGTTGTTTAACCATTGTGTAACCAATAACCTCGCGAACTCGATTCACCATCGACGGTTCCTTGCATCGAAGACTCTGGTTCGGCATCCATGAATGCCAGGGAGAGCGGTGATGTGCATGGATTGAGTGCTGCCAGCGCATCACAGCGACCCACGCCTGGCGGTGAAATGGCCCACCTCCCCCTGTCTTATCGCAGCAGTTTGCCGCCAAGACGCAACTGCCAGCCCATTGAGCGCCCAGCCAACCCTTGCACATGCGACCGCCCGCATCTGCTCACCCCAGCAACTGCAACCCCCCAGCCAATGTAAACAATCGCCAGGAGGAACCGACCCCGTTCAGGCAAGCCACCGAGCAAGCGCCAGCTGGCGATCCACAGTCGCTTCCTAGGGCCTGCACATCAGTGCTAAATAACTTAATGTACAGCAACCTCGAACAACGCTTCCGAGACGTCGTCGGCGATATCCATGACACCTTGATTGGCATTTCGCTGGACCCGCGCCTGATGCCGAACTCTGCAGGTTACCTCGACGTCGCCCAGCGGCACGTCCACTCGGGCGCGAGCACGCCTTCGTTGCGATCTCGCGATGGCACCGTTCCGCCGCATGCCCGGGTCGATGGGGGTGGGAATGTGAGGGTTGTCGTGAGAGTGCGGGCGTTTCTGCCGCGGGGTACGTTTGTCGCTCTCTCCCTCCGACTCTGTGTTTTGCTCTGTGCTGCTCTGTCTCTCTTATTGGAGAATTGGAATCTGGCGAATTGTGACGGCTGACTCTAGCAATAAACAGAAATCCATCGCGAAGCAGAATGCCTCATCCATATGGACCCGATCTCGCAGCAGACAACACTTCTAGTACCCAATGACTTCGACCCGGCCAATGCACGCGCGCGCTCGCGCAAAGTCCTGGAGGAAAAGTCATTCACCTTCGACAATAGCTTCTGGAGCCACGACCCAGAAGACGAGCACTATGCGACACAGGAAGATGTCTACGATAGCTTGGGCGAGGAATTCCTAGACCATAACTTTGAGGGGTACCACACATGCATCTTCGCCTATGGCCAGACAGGCTCTGGCAAATCTTACACCATGATGGGCACGCCAGATCACCCGGGTTTGATACCACGGACATGCGAGGACCTGTTCGAGCGCATTGCGGCGGCCCAAGACGAAACACCCAACATCAGCTACAACGTACGCGTCTCCTACTTCGAAGTCTACAACGAGCACGTCCGCGACCTCCTCGTCCCCATCATCCCGCACCAGCCCCCATACTACCTCAAAATCCGCGAGTCTCCCACCGAGGGCCCCTACGTCAAAGACCTCACCGAGGTTCCAGTACGCAGCTTGCATGAGATCATCCGGTACATGCGCATCGGCGACAACAACCGCACGACGGCCAGCACCAAGATGAACGACACCAGCTCGCGCAGCCATGCCGTTTTCACCATCATGCTCAAGCAGATTCACCACGACCTCGAGACGGACGAAACCACCGAGCGCTCCAGTCGTATCCGCCTAGTCGATCTCGCGGGCTCCGAGCGCGCCAAGTCCACCGAGGCCACCGGCCAGCGCCTGCGCGAGGGTAGCAACATCAACAAATCCCTGACCACGCTCGGGCGGGTTATCGCTGCGCTCGCCGATCCCAAACAGCAACGCCGGCCAGGCAGCTCCCGCAAGGACAACACCGTCGTGCCCTACCGCGACAGCATTCTGACCTGGCTACTCAAAGACTCACTCGGCGGCAACTCCAAAACGGCCATGATCGCATGCATCGCCCCACTCCGAACTACGAAGAAACGCTCTCCACGTTCCGTTACGCCGACTCAAGCCAAGCGGATCCGCACGCGGGCGGTGGTCAACCAGATCGACGCCGTCTCGGCTGCGGAGCGCGACGCGCAGATTTCAGGCGATGGAGGCAGGAGATCCGGGCGCTGCAGCTCGTGGTGGGCGACTCGCGGCGCCCGCGAAAAAGACGCGCGCGAGGCCGAGGAGCGCCTCGAGGAATACCAGGCCCGCGTCCGCGGCCTCCAGCTCTCCATGGCCGAGCGCTCCCTCTTCGCCGAGGGCTAGATCCGCTCCCTGCAGACGGTGAACGAGGCGCTGCGGCTGCATCTCAAGTTGGCGTTGGAGAGTCTGCGCAATCCGATACCTGCGATTCCGGAGCCGGTTCGGGCTGCAGACGGGGTGGAAGACGACAATAATAAGGATGATGGTGATGGGAATGATGATAATGATGATGGGTATGCGTCGGGCGGGCCGGAGAGCGAGGAAGAGGAGGGACGGGGACACAAAGAAGAAGAGGAGGCGGCCAAATATGAGCGCAATGCGGATGACATGCATGAGCACATGAGCGGCCTGGTGAGGGACCTGGATATGTTCCGCCGCAAGATTGGCGACGACAAGACGCGCTTTGTAGACGAAGTGAGTCGCCGGAAGCCGTTGGGGCTGAGGTCGAACATTATTTGAGCGGCGAGGCGGCGGGGGTGGGGGAGGTGTTCTGA